TTTTTCTCTTCTTCNCATTTTTTTTTTCCTTTGCAGGAGCAATTACGATCGATAATGAGGTAACACGGCTCAACCACTACGACATTGATTGCATCGTAGCAAATTCCAATCGGTTCTGCTTGTAGTGCAAGAACACTGCGTTGCCGCCCCAGATGTTTTGTGATGATCGAAGACCAAATCAGCTTGAAACATGGTTGTATGAGCCTAGCAACGTAAATTCTGAGAGAAGCCACGGAAATCGTTCGAGTTCCCTGCTCGCCTAGCACATTTGCATTGTATTTCGAAAGAGGCAGTGAATGTCGTAAAAACGAAGAGCAGGCGCAAAAAGACAAGTGGTAAGAAGTAGCTGACTGGATGTCAAAAAGGAAAACTGTTATAACAAGAGGTACTAGGGAATGCAAGGTGTGAGGAAAAGGAAAAGAGAAAAAAAAAAAAAAAAAAAAAAAAAGGACACCGTAATTGTTGACCGCCCCTTCCATTGCTTCCTCCATTCTCCCATCCGGCGAATCTGATGATATCCCGATATCCACGGAGGGGAAGGCATGACTTGCACTGATCGACAGGTACAGGACAACGGTGCACGTACCAAGGAACCATAGAAGTTGCACGCTGAATAACTTGGGAATGCTACGAGAGCTCTAGTGATTCCGGGACATTGTGGCGCGCAGACACTGACAATCACCATTTTGTCTATTGTTGGATTGACTGTTGAAAGGAAGCGCAAGACATTTCCCTGTTTTAAAACTCAAGCATGTGAAATGCGATGGGCCTCTAACTGAGCTGCGGCATGATTTGGTCACTTGCTGATAGTGGGGTAACAAACTCACAGCTCTGGACGGTTCTTGGCCGAACGGAACCATCCACCTTTCTCTTCCACCCAGTCCCGTCGAAACAACAACACAACATCACATGCGCTGACCCGAATACGACACAATTCCTTTACTAGCAGTGCTGAGTATATGGGAAATATATGTACCACCCTGCGAGAGGACTTCTTCGGCGCATCTCAGCCTCATGCTCTGCTCTGCTGCGTCTGAGGTTGATCGACGATGTTGAGATATCGTCGACGCCTTCCAGTAGGTATTCCATGCCATTCACATTCAGACCTTCAACCACGTTGACTCTTCCAGGCGTCCTATTCGCCAAAAAGGCATCAAGATTGTGGCGTTTCGGGAGGCAGGTACCAATGGCGTATATCTTGGCTTTCTTCTTGGCGCTTTGCTTCTTGGCATCTCTTTTCCCAACGCCGGGAGTTCGAGTCACTGACCCACGTGTGTCGACGGCGAGCGTTGATTTCTTCATTCTCGACATGTCAACGCCACTCTGCCGACCCATTGGCAATACATAAGCATTCAGCTCTTCGCCCTTGGCTTTTCTTGGCTGCTTCGGCCAAGACCTTTTCTTTTACTCTTGTTATTGTCGTTGAGCCTTTCTTCCTCGGGGTAGTTCCTCTCCTGGCGCAAGCCCACCCGCATTGGAGATATGGGATGGACGTGTTGTGTGTTGGACGAGGTGATTTGCTGGAATCACTACTTGTATGGGATGATCTTGGGCTTAGAGAGTGTTTGACCATGGCGGACTTGTTCAATCACGGCGGGACTATGTTCGTTATGTGTGGATATCGACTTCTGTGTGGTTCGTCCAGCAGCTCTGAAAGTGGGAGACACTCGAGGAGAACTCAACGCCGAGCTCAAGAAACTTGACCAAGTGGTCAATATCTTGAGCTTAAGGCCAGATACCTACCGTGGATATCTTTTGAAGGCAGAAGATACCTGCAGTCTTCTCAATGGGGCGGACCTCAGGTGGCACGTCTGCGAGGAAGCCCTCCAAGCGTTCAAAACGAGACAAGCAGTAAGTATCATTGTCCAATCTTCCTTTCAAACCCCTTTTGGCTGTTCACAGGAATTGATTGCACTCACTGCCACATCACTGTCACGCGCCTCCAGCCCTCAATGATTCAAGGGTTTCCATGCAATCATGTTCGCTGCAGAAGCGAAGCACGTTCACCATCCCACGCCTCTTGACGGCCAATGTTACCTCCAGCCTTCTCTGGAGGAGTCGATCGAGATGTTGGTGGGTGAACGGTACCTGACCTACCAATCCTTCTTTTCCCATTTCTTTTCCCCCGGACTCCACTTCCCCAAGGGTTCACGGTCTTGTCAGTACGGTCTTGTTCGACAAAAGATCACTAGCATGATATGCACTCGCCACGCGCCGAGCACGCCCAGAACCGAAAACGATGAAGATTCTTCCACCACGGCGGGCATGCCCAGAAGCAGTTAACAACAATGTCGGCATCAGCCAACATCACCACCACCACCACGGCTACCACCACTATCCTCACACCATCTCACCCATTCCACCTCTTTGCCACACCGTCAATGTGTGTGGGGCAAACGAATATGCAGCAGTTAGGTCCTTGGCTGGCGAACACCAAGGAACATTCACATCCTGAGATACCACACACGTGTGCCCGACCCTTGGATGGAACGCCCCCCCTACGCAGTCCGTTGGTTTTCGACAGGACGTACCTGTTGCAGCCTTGCTGCAGTACTCTATGCACGATCAATCCATCCCGCGTGGTCTTGTATATCCTACATATATGGCCCCAACCATGGAAACGATCCAAGCCCAATCCTGTCTTCTCTTCAGCAGCAAGCCGCTCACCAAACAAAAACCGACAACCCGAGCAAGCATAAGAGCTTCTCAAAGAGACGCTCGCGTGCCTCCCCTCACGCGACCTACTACTCTCTTTTCCTCATTGTTCTGGTTGAAGTAACTTGTCGTTCAAGATGGTCCTTCATCAGTTCGATTATCTCCTTGCCATCGGCACCATCTTTGCTGCCCTTGATGCTTGGAACATTGGTATGTCAAATAACACCACCTGCCCCATATCCAACCAAGCCCTTGCAACATTCACTGACAACCATTCCCTCCCACAACAGGAGCCAACGATGTTGCCAACTCATGGGCCACCTCGGTCGCCGCCCGCTCCGTCACCTACCTCCAAGCCATGATCCTCGGCTCCATCATGGAATTCGCCGGTTCTGTTGGCGTGGGTGCCCGCGTAGCCGACACCATCCGCACTAAAGTCGTCGACACCACTCTCTTTGCCAACGACCCGGCCCTCCTGATGCTGGGCATGGTTTGCGCCGTTGTTGCCTCTTCCCTCTACCTGACCATGGCCACTCGCTTCGGCCTGCCCGTCTCCACCACCCACTCCATCATGGGCGGTGTTATCGGCATGGGCGTTGCGGCCGTCGGTGCCGACGGCATCCAATGGGTCGGCTCGAGCATCAACGACGGCGTGGTATCGGTCTTCCTGGCCTGGGTCATCGCGCCCGGCCTCGCCGGCGCCTTCGCGTCCATCATCTTCCTCGTCACCAAGTACGGCGTGTTGCTCCGTTCAAACCCGGTCTACAAGGCCTTTGCGGTGGTGCCCATTTACTTCGGCATCACCGCCTCACTGCTCTGCATGCTCCTGCTCTGGAAAGGCGGCAGCTACAAGGTGACGCTAAGCAACGCCGAAATTGCGGGCACCATCATCGGCGTCGGCGCCGCCTGGGCCTTGCTAGTCACCATCTTTTTGATGCCTTGGCTTTACCGCGTCGTCATCCTCGAGGACTGGCAACTCCGCTTCTGGCACATTCCTCTCGGCCCCCTCCTTCTCCGCCGCGGAGAGGTCCCGCCCCCGCCTGCGGACGGCTCCGGTGTCGTCCAGGATTTCTATGCCGGTCGCTTGACAAAGGAGCAACTCGCTGCCCGCCGTGCCGCTCAAACCGGTGACTCGGAAATGGCCGCCGGTGCCGTGGTATCCTCCACCTCCAACCCCTCGGCCCCCACCGACGGCGAAAAGGGGGCCACCATCACCAAGGACGACTCCTCCTACTCGCACGACCATTCCGAGCCCGCCCCGGCCCAACCCCAAATCAAGACCATCGTCGGTCCTCGCCCGGCCGGTCCCTGGCACTCGGGTGCCGTCCTTTTCTGGTACGTCAAATGGGCTTTGTTCCGCGGCATCGACCAAGACGTCCTCTCCTCCCAGCAAGAAAAATCCGTCATCTCGTCCGACGTTGAGGAACTCCACGCGCACGCGGCGCACTACGACAACAAGACCGAGTACATGTACTCCTTTTTGCAAATCATGACGGCAGCCGCCGCCTCTTTCACGCACGGCGCCAATGACATTGCCAACGCGATTGGCCCTTATGCGACTGTTTTCCAGCTCTGGAAGGACGGCGCTCTTCCCGAGAAGGGCAAGGCGGATGTTCCCGTGTGGATTTTGGTGTTTGGTGCTTCCTGCTTGGTGATTGGCCTGTGGACGTATGGGTATAACATCATGAGGAACTTGGGCAACCGGATTACGTTGCAGAGTCCGAGCAGAGGGTTTTCGATGGAGTTGGGGAGTGCAGTGACGGTTATTTTGGCTACTCGGTTGAGTAAGTATTTTTTTTCTTTTGTTTTATTCGGGAATGCCGATGCATGGGGCGAACTTGCTTGCTAACGACGATTGACTTACAGAGCTACCTGTGTCGACTACGCAGTGTATCACGGGCGCTACTGTCGGTGTTGGTCTTTGCTCGGGCACGTGGAGGACCATCAACTGGCGCCTTGTGGCTTGGATCTACATGGGCTGGTTCATCACTCTGCCTGTTGCCGGCATCATTTCGGGATGTTTGATGGGTATCATCATCAATGCTCCTCGCTGGGGGTATAGCGGCTGAATGCATGCTGTGGGGTGGATGGCGGAATGGAGGTGCCGCCCGACAAAAGAAAACAGGAGTGGGTGTAATGAAGGAGGGCTGGAAAAGAATTGGAACTGTTTAGAATTTGTGTTGTATTCCTTTGAACTACGCCGCCGCAGATGGATATGTAGTAGATAGCTGTTGCTGGTTTTGTGCTATTTTGTGAGGCTGTTATACCCCAGGTAGTACGCTATTCTGAAATCAATATCAATCCAACGCTAATTGAGAACATAAACATGGCGAGCTCCTTGTGCTCTCCATGATCAATTTCTGTTCCTTGCCAGCTTTCAATCATCGACGTAGTCATCTTCTAGCAGGAGCCTCCGGAGTGAAGGCCACTCGTAGGACTCGGGCGTGCTCTCATCGGATGGGGGAGTGCTGTCACCATAGCGCTTCGAGCCAAGCCTGGGAGGCAAGGATTTGATCCACAAAGCCCTTTCCATACCCGGCTGTATCTCGCTCAACTCGCTGTTCAGAATATGGATTTTATCCATAATGTGTGGACACGGGCACCTTCGTTGGAATCCCAACAAATTTGCTCGTTGGAAGTCATTCTTTTTCAAAAACGTCTCCTCCGGCTCCTTCCATGGTTCTTCCCTGAAAGCCGATGCGACCAGATAATCGAAGCCTCTCTCCCACAAGTGTTGCTCAGTCTGTTTCAGAAGCTGGCTTCCGACGCCCATTCGACGCACAGAAGCATGGACATGAATCGCAATGTAAACAACGTCGTCACGACGCTCTTCTTGGTTCCAGTCGTCCTTCAGGATGCCAATTGCAAAACCAACGATCCAGTTTTCTCCCGTTGCGAGCTCGGCGACGGCAACCCATAGCATCCCTTTTATAAGGCAATGATTCAAGAGCTCTCCCGTATATGTCGTATACCTGGCGCGCAAAGGCAGCCATGTTCTCAATCTCACGGAGGTCCTCAAGTTCAGGGTAGAGGCAATTTGGACCTTCTTCAGATGAGGAAGATCTCGCGGCCGACCCAGGCGGATAGATATGTCCATGTCGATATGCTGGGGTTGAGGGGGGAGCAATTCATTGGCAAAGACGAAAGAAGATATGCTTGGAGGAGCGCGCGGACCGTCATCTTCGGGTCGAGGTTGCCGGATGCGGCGAGAGTGGATCCCGTCGACCTCAAATAACCCGGCGGAGGGATCCCTTGAAGGAAACTGGGGACGGTTATACGTCGGAATTATGAGTCGTAGAGCCGGTCGTCCTGGTCGCTCCACTGGCGGCATACTGCAGTGTCGAGTATCGTTCACGGACAAGATATTAGGTTTTTCAGTTAATGTCTCTGCTGGGCAAGGAAAGGTTGGAAAGAAAGCACCGGAGGTTATCGTGTCCAAGCCGGCTTAGAGGGGAGAGACAAACAGAAGAGAGAACGGCAATTGGACGTTTGATGATGACGACGATGAGGGTAATGCCAGATAATGCTGATGACGATGACGATGGTGAGGACGCAGAGTAGAGGAGCAACGTGGGAAAGACGGTGACTAGACATTGTTCACTTGAATTCGGAAGTAGAATCCTTATAACCACCCATGAAGGCTCACGGGAAGATGAGAAACGTAGCTGCCGGGGCGACTTTCAGGGCCAATGCCGGAAGCATCAGAAAGAGCTCAGTGTTTACTTGGCGATTGGGGGAAGAACTGGTGTTGGTGAATGGTAAGAGGTTAGGGAAATGAAGGGAATGTTGCTTCAGTGGCGAGGTATGTAGCATGCTGATGCTTTCAAAGTCAAACTTGACCCAAGCCATCATACAACATCTCTCGTGGTGCACTTGAGGGTGAGGGAAACAGCATCACGGCGGCGGGCGGTTGTGGCTGCCTCGGTACTGGCAAACTCCTGCTTGGAGGTGCGGACAAGACTGCGGAAAGCGACAGACAATACACCATGTGGAAGGCGTGGATATGGAGGATTGCCTCGATCGACACGATGGAATAAGATGCGCTTGCATTTTGAGACTGAGGCTCGAGAGGAGTTGCTGCACCTGGCGTTGACGATGTCAATGTCGAGGTCGAACACGGAAGGGAAGTCGAGGGTGTGCAGTGATGCCGCCTGGTCGACAGCTGACAGCATGAGCCCACCGCAACAGAGCGCACGAGCCACCCAGGAATTTTGGGTGGAGCCAGCAGGGAAATTGCACCCGTGCACAGACCCCTTCACCAAGGCTATTTAACATTGGCCCCCTCCCCTCATTCTTAGAATTTTCTTTCCTCTTTTTTTTCTTCATACTTACCTTGGTCGATTGCGCGGAGATCAAGAACACCGCGTAGTATGGCGGAGGGCCTGCATTGCACATCGTGGTGCCAGCCGCCATGAATTGTCCTTCGGGGCCGTTCCGGCCGTAATTTTTGATGTCAATCCATCATCCATTTCGGATATCTTTTTTCACTATGCTTGCTGCTCACGGGTGGTACCATGGAGAAGAAGCCATTCGCGTTCTTGCATGCCTATGAGGAGTTTGTCGTATGTCCGGTACTCGGCGTTTACATATAAACATTTCGACAAACGCGCAACCAGCTCGGCCCGCATCACGGTTAAAACGAGCGCCATCTCGCCAAAAAAGCGCAACAACCACCACTTGTTCCAAATCTTTGTTCCGACCGCACCCAATTCCAAAATGTTTTCCTTTCTATTTACACAGCGCCAGGCAGTCAACATAGTCAAGACAGTTGGAGCGTGTTTATGATCTACAAGCCTGCCGCAAACTGACAACGTCAAGGACGGCCAAGAATTGTCCACTGGCTCCTGGAGACAATAAGTGAATGGAATGGATGCTGCAATTTGAGGACGCCGTATCATCATGTTCTCAACTACTTTGGCTGGCTGGCGGCCAGTCGTCCGTATCGTTCGGGGGACGGTATGCCTGTAGTGGGCAGCTTTAACCCCCCCCGGCCTCTTCCCTCTTAGACAGGAACAGCCAACCCCCTACACAACCTGCCTTTCCCTCCACTATCTTCAAGCTTGGCTCCGCAAATCGCTGCGAATTTGGCCGCCTGGAGCCACGGGCGGGGTTTACAAAGATGTTGGACACGGAGAGAATAACATCACCGGCTTTACCCTGCCACCGGGAATCAAAGTAGCGACAGGCGCTGCTAGATACGCCATGTGCCGCTTCGAGGAAGTGTTTGGGCAGGATGCGGATGTGTCTCGACCTGAGCGGCGCTTGGAGGCCAACGAAGCTGCCAGACTTGAACTGGAAACATCCGAGAAGAATGGAGCAGCTCTACGAGAGCTGGGAGAAGCAGGAAGGACACTAAGAGAGAGGGAAACTACGCTGATTTTTCGGTCAGAGTGGATGGGAGGTGGGGGAGCGAGGGAATCCCCGGGTGTGTTTATGGAGGGAGAGGGCGTTTAGAATTTCTATTGAGGGTTGATGGTAAACTGGAAGAGCTCTTGCGATCGCCACAAAGGGAGCACCATGCGCATCATGGAATCGATTCTCGGACAGATGTCTTGCAACGTATGAACGACGGTCTTCCCTACTATCAGTGGACAGACTCCGTACTATACACACCCGCAACAGAATGCCAGACTGGAACAAAGAGAAGAGACAGGTGTCGCGGTCGACTAGCAGCTAAACTCCCACTCAACGCCCTCCCACCCCTCCCTCTTCTTCAAAACCACCTCTCCACCCTCCAACCCCGGCAACGGCTTTGCCGTCTCGCCCCTCTTGGAGTCGCCCATCTTCAACTTACTTCTATCCAATCCCTCAATTTCAAAGCCAATTGCCAACGCCGCCATCAACGCCAAATTCTCGGTAAACGCAAAATGTCTTCCCGGACACATGTGCTTTCCACCGCCAAAGGGGACGAAGGCCGCCTTCCTCTGCCTCTCCACCTTTGGACCCAGCTCCTCCCACATGAACCGACGGGGGTTGAAACCCTCAGCATCAGCGCCCCAGACGGCGGTGTTCCGGTGGACTACCTTGGCAGGCATCATGACATTGGTGTCAGCCTTCAGCATGTAGGAACTTCCCGAAACGGGGTCGGTGAGCATCGTATCCTTGAGCACGCGTCGGGCGGTAACGATCTGCGAGGCGAGCCGGATGGATTCCCGGAAGCAGGAGGCGAGAAGTGGGCACTTGGCGTCGAGGCCGGTGGCGGGGATGGTGATTGTTCTTGTTCCCATGTCCTCACCCGAAAGAGCTTTTTGACTATTGCCAAAGACGGCCAGCAAAGCTTCGGCGCGAATTTGTTGTAAGAGATCAGGGCGCGTCCAGATTTCGGCGATGCACCAGAAGAGAGTGGATAGAACATTGGTAGTGGCGACAAGGGTGATGGCTACTTCATTCTTGGCTAGTTCGTCATCGGGAAGATCGTATCTCTTTAGCAAACGAGTGCGAGCGCGGATGAAGTAGGAGGTGGACGGGTCAGTCTCGTAATGGCGCGCGCTGAAGTAGGAAAGAAGTGCGGATTGGACTTTGTTGCGGGCGAGATAGGCGCGGCGGGCGACGATGGATGGGAGGACCCCGAGGACCAAGGGGCCGAGGTGGGATTCGAAGTCCCTGTGATGTTTTGGTGGTGGTTAGCTTTGGCTAAGAGAAGGTAAGGGGAAGGTAACGTACCACTGGGCGTCAATGACTTGGTGGTCCTTGAACGGGTTGTGCTTCTCTCCCCACAATGCTTTTGATGTGGATCTGCTAAGAAGTGACTGAAGCCAGAGAAACATGTTGGGAATCTTGGTGCCCTTCTTGGAGTCCACATCGTTCAAGGTATCGGCCATGGTCGCAAGAGTGGTGCTGGCCAATTTCTGAAGGTTGTCTCCCGAGAGCGCGGACTTGAAGACCTGTTCCATGTCGCCCATGATGTTTGGGTGGACGCCATCCTTTCCGAGGAGCTTGTCGACCGTGCCTTGTTTGACGCCAAAGATGCGCGGGACGAAATCCACCATGAAAGACTGCGCGTCCATGTCCTTGGCCTTGAGAGCGGCCTGTTGTAGGGGCGCATCGAAGATAACGTAGAGTTTCTGGTTACCGATGGGGAGAGTTGCGATGGGCAAATGGTACCGCGTGAACAGCTCGCTGAAGTAGTTGACTTGGTGGTTCAACAGACCAAAGAGGTGGCCGATTACTGGGAACCTGGGCTTGATGAGGGGTGGTTCGGACGGATCATGAGGTGGTGAGATGGTGAGGAGCAAGTACGACAACAGTACGGCGACGCCGCTGACGAGGAACTGGACTGGCGAAGTTTTGCTTTGGACCCAGATCATGGGAATAAGGCCCTTGATGGCGGCAATACCGGTGTCGAGGATGCTCTCGATCTCAGCTACCGCGTCTGCCATGGTGGAGGGCATTGTGACAGTTGTTGTGGTGGCAGCCAGGTGGTGCAGCTGCAGGTCTGGGAACTCGAAGCCAGAAACAGCAGAGCATCAAGAAATCGGATGTGCACAGTTCGGATGGTTTTGTGTTGTTCAAGGCACCGGTTTGTGGACGTTTGATGGAAGACTCGGGTGGGCCCGTTGTTGGCATTGTTCTCTTGCCATTGTCGACACACGGAAATTTCGGTTTGTTTGTTTGCTCTCAACCATGGCGACGTATCCAGACAAAGCTGCGGGACTAACCTAAGCTGCAAGGGCGCAACAGGTGGTGGATGATTGCGGACTTACATTTCTGATGGCTACTAGTGCTTGATAGTCTCGAGATTGTTGACTGCTGACTGTAAGACTTGGCCGAGCATTGTTTTTATCTCCAACAGTCAGTCTGGGATGTTGCAGTGGTGGTTGATTTGGTGAAGGTTCGCACATGAATATTTCTGCAACGGCATGGTGCCTGCCGCTTTCCCCTCGCTGCCGAGTCAAAGTGGCTGCATGACGGGATGCCCTGGTGCGGGACAGGAACTGTCCGATTGAAACCCTCACGGATACAGCTGAGACAGTGACCGAGACTGCTCGAGTTCAGACTCTTTGAGCTTATCGAGATGTCTCAACAATAGAAGGAGTCAACGAAGGAAGTACTTGGATATCTAGGTACTGTTAGGGTATGCGTCACGATCAACAGTGGAAAGAGCAGCCACCCAGGTGCATAACTCCCCTGGTGTAAGTGTTAAGGGATACATCAGCCTGACTGCAATTTACTAACAAGGGGTACATTCCCGAGATGTCGATGCATCCAGCTCGCATCTGCTCTGGATGCAAGACACGTCACACACCGAAGCTGCGACCTACCTACCATCAGCAACGATGGAAAGCGCATTCAGCAGCCTCATACTTCTGGGATAGAAGCTGTCGCAAACTGATACCTTTTTCCCAGCCAATTGTACTCTTCAACAGAGCCCCTCATTCCACCTGTCCTCGGCTACCTCTACTTAGTTCTCTTCAATCGCCAAGCATTCCCCTCCCCAAGGCAGACATCGTCCCTAGAGGTAGTTGGGCACCAGTTTGGCCCAGACGAGGCGTGTCCAATGATTGTTGTTTACTGCGTATTCCCTACGCAGATCCAAAGCCACATGGTACGTATTCTAGTAATGATAGCTTTGCGAGACTGCTCGATAAGTTAAGTGCACATGCTAACCAGCGCCTTCTGTTGGGTCAAGGTCAGATTTCCATGGAGCTTGGGGGGAACGAGGCCTCTTGACCGAGACCAACGTGGAAAAATGGAAAGGCAAGGCACGAATGCGCTGGTAGCACAACGGGGAAACAACACCCAACCCTCTTCCTTTTAGCGAGGCCAAACCAACACCGGCCATCCAATCGTTCAGTTACATCTTCGTTCTGTGTACATCAAGTACACTACAGTAGAGCTGCAGCTCAGCTTTCGCAAGGACCATCACAGACATATCAACGTCACAGCCCGAAGCAGATGGTATATAAGCATCGCGAGTTCCTACATGTAGGTAGTGCTTATAACGTTGCCCGACGTCAACTGCCACTGTCACTCTCCCTGAACCTCCGAAGAAACACAGCGTAACATGCCACTGTAGCATCCGGGAACAAACAGCCAACAACCCCGCTGCAACCACAGAAGAACCTCCCCAACCTGGCCACATCCAACATTCATCTCACTGTCTCTGAAGCAGATGGATCAACATCAACAACCAACTCCTCCTCGTTACGATCAATACGTCGATCCCCTTCCTCCCACCGACGCTTGGGCTTGTTTTTTGTCCGCGAGATATTCACAGAGAAAAACCTTGTACCAAGGTTTGACGGCAACAGAGAAGGAGCTGGTCCGGAAAGAACTCCGTCGTGTTCGCTACTTGAGGGAATATTTCGAGACCCTACGCCTGTCCCCCAAGCCCAACAGCGCTCCCTTGGTTGTCTTGCTCGATGATTCTCGAAGGCGTTGGAAGCAACAGGCAATACAAAATTCCAAGGCGGCACTAGCAAAGTGCGACAAGGAATTAGCACAGCCAAATTGCTATCATAAGCCTCTTCTGCAGCGAAACCGTTCTCTTTTGCTTCAGGTTCAGCAATGGTCAACACAGCCGGCCGAAGACCAGCAAAGGAAAGAAGAGCTGGACCCGGAAAATTACATCGACGGACTGGGCGCACCCGACGATAGCATCGACGACAATCCGCGCGATCCCAACTATGGCTACAATGGTTGGGTGATTGTGTACGAAAAGGGACGAGGCGGAGTGACCCTCGACCACCCTCTCTGTCATGGTCAGTACCCCCATCAAAAGATCTCGGTCCAGAAGCTGCTTTATGACATAGCCAATACACCACTCAAGCGCTCGGAGGACAAGAACCAGTTACGCTACTTTCATCTCCAGGCGAACAACATGAAGTGGGTGGAAGATGCCATTGCAAGATACTACGGTGAAGCCTCGGGATTAGATCGTCAACGCAGCACAATCATACGTGAAAGGGGGATGTCCAAGCCCACAAATCGTTTGTCAAACACCGAGAAGTTATTAAAGCGCGAACTTTGGCATGGACAGGAACGCGGCGGTATCGGTACACATCTTCCACCTCATGCCCGCCAAATACGACCTCGTTGCGCTGTTGTCCCATCCGCGCCATGCGCCCCACGGACACATTCAACGTTGGGTTTGCCGATGAGTGCTACCACCAATACAAACGACGTGGTGCTCTTTATGCCATACCTACACTGGGAAATCGAGAAACGACTCACAAGAATGACGAATGTCATACGCAAGACACGTCAGCAGAAGGAAGAAACTTATTACATGGAGCGTCAAAACAAGCGTCGAGGAACCTGGGGTAGTGTCGTTGATAAGGTCATGACGGCACGTGTCCTTAGACAGGACAGCATACCTGACGACACATTTATCAGCGACAAATCCATGGATGATGCTCCTTCCTGGCGTCCCAGTAGCCGACTAGGCACTTATTTATGGCATGCAGCGAAGCTCTTTCAACTGATCGACGAGGCCGCCGACTGGCGACTGATCAATGATCATCTTTATGGCGAGTCCTCCCTGCATCCGAGACGCACGCTCGAACAATACAGCAGCTGGACTGCAGATGATACAACCAAGCGAGACCGACAACAGGTGGTTTATCGTGGGACCTGGATGAAGAACGATTTGGAGTCTATTCCGAGAGTAGTAATGGTTGACCAACTGTGGATGTGGATCCTGGATGAGAGTAAGTTTCGCTACGCATGATATGTGTTTCCAAGCTAACCTCGTGGGTGACAGATACCATCATCACCGCATTTCCTCGGAGATGGGGCCGCAACAAACCTGATCCCTCTGCAGTCCATCGAGCAATCCGGGACTACATGGCATCTGTCGATAAAGGCCAGATCAATTCGATCTACGATCTTGCTCTCATCATCGTTGATGAATGTTCCAAAGTCATCTTCGACAGGACCAAGCCTGATCTTCGGCCAGAGGTAGTGGACATATTCGGTTCCGCCATATCCAAAATTGTTCGTCTAATGTACCCCTTGTTACGTACGATGGCATCGCTAACACACGGGACCCTAGGCGGAAAAGAAGACGGAGTCATACGAGCGGTTCGGCCGTGACGTCAAGAGGATGAACACTCAGGATCCGCTCGAAACCTCCGAAGAACTGCTTCGCAAGTCCCTCAACATCAAGTACGAATGGTCCGTCCTAATGGAAGCCCAGAGTGTCATCGACCAGCTACAAATCATGCAAGAGATATTTACACAGCAGATTACCATCATGACGGACTTTGAGAAGGTATTACGTGGATTGGGTTCTGGGGTTCCGTCTTCTCAGTTGGACGGACTGACCTCTACTCTTGAGCGTGCCAGCTCTCTGCTAACTGACATGAAATCGAATCGTGATGAACTCGCTGACCTTGAGAAGAGGCAAGCTAAAACACGGACCCAGATCCGGGAATTGCTTGACATGAAACAACAGCAGTCGGGAATCATCGAAGCCAAAGCGGGTATTCGACGAGCAGACGAGAGCGTCCTTCAAGGGAGGTCAATAGTAGTCTTCACTGTTGTGACCATCTTCTTTCTACCATTATCATTCTTCGCCACCATGTTCGGTATGAACGCACGGGAACTAAACGATGGACATATGGGAATCGGCACCCAGCTGTTGCTAATGCGTGAGTGAGTCCCATTAGTTCTGAGTTTTGGATGATTAGGCTGACCAATCCAAAGTCTTTCCCTCACTTGGCATTACAATTCTCTCACTCGCGCTTGCTTTCAGTACTCGGGCTCGAAGCCTCATCTTTGGCGGCTGGCGGTCGTTTGTGGGTGGACTGCGGAAGCCAGTGGCATCTACGCATCAGTTGAAGGAAGCGTCGGCCCATACGTTACGGGACTTTATGCTGGAGAAACTCAGGGAACGGGATGTGCAATATGGTGAGAGTCTGCAGGAGCTACCGATCCACGAACATCGGGAAGCACCAACCGAAAAGAGGCCGGGAACTTGGGCATCTGGGAAGTTTAGCAGTGGTAGCTTGTCACATCTGTGGACTCGGAGGCGATCGCAGTAATTATTTGGTTCAATGGTATCAATATGAGTAGTCATAATATGCATGCATTAACTCAAGAAGTGTTTCCGTTCGGGGCATTGCTGCCGTTGCCGTCTATCCCCATTCGCATCACTTAGGGTATCCAGCCGTCCAACATTGACACCAAAATCACCATGATTCCCCCTCAACAAAGCAGGCAAACGCAGTCACGCCCGTAAACTCCAAAGAAACCAACCACCAACCTCCTTCATCACCCAACAATGCCGCTCACAATCTCCAACAAGCGCCCAGAAACCTCTTCATGTGCGGTAATCACCCCCCAATTCCCATCCAGCTTCCTTCCCCGTCCATAATCAATTGGCCTCCCCCACAGATCCGTCACCTTCCCTTTCCCCGCCGTCGCCTCGACGTAAATCAGCTGTGCGCCCGCGTGGTCCCAGATATAGGTGGCCTTGGTTCTCGGCTTGGGGATGCGCACTTGCACGTGCGATGGCCCGCCAAGGATCATGGCTACGTATCGCATGTGTGACGAGTACAGCTCGGTGCCGGGGAAGGAGTAATTGGGTACGCCGGCTAAGGTGGCGACGCGGGCGACGAGGGAGGAAGAGGTTGCGGGGGTGGAGAGGGAGTCGATGAAGTGGAGGTTGGACATGTCTGGTGGGGTGGTTTGGGGATTTTTAGTGATGGAGGAGGACTTGGTGAGGGAAATTGCGGGGAGAAGGTCCGTTTGGGAAGTCTGGTCGGCGATGGGCCGGATAGTAGCGCCTTGGGAGCGCACGGCACTGAGGAGGATGCCGTTTGTTGTTTGTTGTTCATCCTGAGCGTCAGGGGATGGGGTGCTTTCCTCGGAGATTATGTACGTGGCTGTGCAAATGTTGGCTTGCGGGGAAGCGGAAGAGGAAGAGGAAGAGGAAGAGGGGAGAGTAATGCCGAGGTTGGGGCAGCCCAGAACGCCAACCACTTCCCGTCCACCCTCAATCAAGCACAGGCTCACAGCATACTGCTGCCCGCGCATGAACGCCGCCGTGCCGTCGATGGGATCCATAGCCCAGAAGCGGGCGGTGGGTGAGCCGGTGCCACGCCCGCCTAGGTCAATGAGGGATAGCATCTCGGGGATGGTTTGCGGGAGTGCTGGTGAGAGTGCTTCATCACCTGACTCGGTGGAGGCGCAAGACCGAACCAGATCAAATACCTGCCTGGCCAGCACCGGATCCCCGCGCAAAGCATCGGCGTCCTCTTCGCCAATGAACCCGTCGGTCGGAAAGTGCGCGCGGATGGCGGCGGTGAGGAGCGCTTGCACGGCGAAGTCGGCGGCGGTCACGGGGGAGAAGTCGGGCTTGGAGATGGAAGCGACGCTGACGCGGCGGTCGGGGTGGTCGTCATGATGAAGTTGTGGTGTCGAGGTACCGGAAGTGGAGGTTGAAGATGTAGAAGTGGAAGAAGGGTTGAGGATGCCGGCGAGGACGCGGCGCGTGAGGAGGGAAGCGCGTTGCACGGCTAGCTCGGCAATATGACGCTCGTGCTGGTATGGTGGTTTAGAAGAGTTGGGCGTGGTGACTGTCATCTTGAGCTTCTCAGGTTTTGGTTGAGACAAGGATGTGTTTGTAAGGTTGAGGTTGAGATGTCGGTGAGTGGAGCCGCACTGGAGAGGGAGGGGACAGTAACGGAGTTGACGTTGAAATAAAGTGTGTCTATGTGGAGTGCCGACGTCTTGGTGGTGGTGATCGTCGGCGGCAGGTGGAGGCCTGGTAGCTAGCCCCCCTTGTCGAGGTGGTGTATTACAATTCCGTGTATTAAGGTGTATATCAAGGTATGGCGGTGTAATAATAGGTTGGCGGTGGTTGTGATTGCTTTTGAGACGGTGTTGTGCTCTCAGATAGGTGTGTTAGCGCAGTTGATAATGATTGTCAAGTACCGAGATGGGAAACTCTTTTTCGAAGATCTTGGCAATGGGAAGGTTTAAGAGTGAAATCAGGGAGAGACTTGACAAACCCGAGGACTCCCATGCCAAAGCAAGCGCTTCGCCTCTTGTGGATGAAGCACCACGCCATGGTCGCCATCACCAGGATGGATAGAGGGATGGATGGGTCACGGCCGTTCCATGTGGATTGGTGTGTTGTCCATGAACATGGATCTTGTGAGGAAGTTGTTTGATGAGAATATGCAAAAGTGACCTGGGATGGTGGTCACGGCGAGGCAAATCTCTCAAGGCACTTTTGAGACTTTGTGAGAGGCCTTTGGGGCTGTGACAGCTGTTAGCGATAGTGCCGCGGCAAATTCGATGTCTCAATTGCAGCCACACCTGATAAGAAGGATGGCTGAGCAGGCAATGCGCGCAAATCCGGGGAGGCGCAAAGGGGCTTTTTCAGGTGAAGGTGGTCGTCAGGTGCCGTTGTGTGGTGGGGTCGGGTCGGGTGTTCCTGGCTGCACTGCGATGTCCGGATGACGCCGACGTGCCGGGCTTCCAGGGGTGTGGGTGCGACCCTAGGGCATCTGACAGCGCTAAATGGCGTCTGTTTCACTGGTCAGCGGCAACGTGCAAACGAGAGGGGACCTAGGTGGCATTCGATCCTTCGAAAGACGGGGTTCTTTTCGACTCGACACCCACCTCGTTCCTTTTGTGCTTCAATAATATTCGGTCGCTTTCACGATGCTGATTTCATTTTCATGATTAGGTCTTTATGCCCTGATATCGTATCCGAGCCATACGAGTTGGCGTTTGGCCGCTGGTGCCGGGATTTGTTCCAGCTTATACCGGGAACGTGTTGACAGAACAAGTTTGAGTGAATGAGGGCGCAATTGGACAAACCATCGAAACTGACGAGTCTTGCAATCATCTTGAGTGATTATGACCAGAAATCAACTCATCTGCCGAGGAATCTGGATCACCTTGGACCCGACTCCTCGATTGGACCACATACAAGAAAGTGCCCGTTCCGAGCCGTGTCGCCACATCCAGTGGCAACCCTGACCGTCATGAAAGTAATCCGGCAATTATCACCTACTATACACAACGCTCTACAGGTACTCAACAGTCATCCAATAAGTGGTTGATCATGAGCAATGCTGGCTTGGTTCAAGACAGGGTATAGATCATTTATTCGTCATACAATCGTTAACGCATTAGACTCCGTTACCTTCCTCAACCTTCAACACCCAGCCTGTGACCCAACTTCCAGTCAAAGATTAGCAATTACATTAGAACAATGCAGCAACAGCCATGCCCAGAGCACCAAGGCCGAGAGTCTTTAAACCAAGTCCGACACGACCAGCAGTGCCAGTGGCGGGCGGGTTCTCGCCGTCCCCGGAGCCGACAAGCTGTTCATATTGTGTCAGCAAGTCCTCAATTATTACGGTTGTAGGAAAAAAGAAAAGAAGGATGAACTCACCGAAGCAACAGTATGCACAACGCCATTCTCAACAATGACATCAGAAGCAGTGACCTTTGCACCATTGAAGTAGACACCGCTATCCCTCACAGCAACAGTAACGGTGCCGTTGGCCAGGGTGTTGAGGACCTGTCCATCCTTCAACAGCGGGGAATAACCGACATAGTTGACAATGACGTGCTGGCTGAGGATGCCGACGATCTGCTCGTCGGTGAGGGCCGATATATTGACGGCGGCGAAAGCGCTGTCCTCGGGTGCGAGGACGGTGATGCCGGCGGTCTCGCTGACGGGCCCGGTGAGGTTGGATTGAGTCAAGAGGGCGGTAAGGTTGGAGAGGTTGGGGAAGAGGGAGAGGGTGCTGGGGACGGCGCCAGGGATCTCGAGGAGGCTGTTGTTGGCGGAGTCGTTAGTGGCGAGTTTGGTGTTAAGAGAAGAGGAGGGGATTTCCTACGAAGCCACGGGCCTAATGACACCTCCGTCAAAGGGGATGTCATTACCCACAATCGGAACAACCTGACCCGCACCGGCGAAAACGTTGGGCACACCCGCGTCTCCGACGGGCTTCTCAACAAGAGACTGGTTGACGCCCAGGCCGAGGTTGACAATCTCCGGGTCACTCAGCAGAGATTCGTAGACAGCTGCAGGAGAGTTAGCCTGCTGGCGCTTGAAGCGTAGCTTCTTCGAACTGGAAGCCGTGTTCTGCACCGAACTCATGGCGGCACGCTGGGACTGGCTGGTGGTCCTACGACGGCTGAGGGTGGAGTTGACGGCAGACTGAGTGTTGTTGGTGGCATAGATGATGAAGTTGCTGCCGACGTCGATGCTGGAGAGAATGCTAGGGTCCGCATCTTGGTAGATACTGGCGAAGTCGCTGAAGCCATTCTGCTGGAGGGTGTCGATCAGGGTGTCGGCGGAAGCAAATGTTGCCGCGGATAGGGCAAGGAGAATGTGGAAAAGAATCATGGTGATAGTGAAGTCTCGGGAATGTGACTGAGAGAAAGGTGAACGAGGCTGTCACCTACTTGGTGAGTGAAGACTGGTGTAGAAGAAGCAGTGCTGCAATGAGACACAAAGTGTAGCCATCAAGGCCGGTGGGTATGCGTCTTCTTATATATGGACTGTCTCAGCGTATTCTTCTCTTCAACTTTACACAAGACTTTGAGATCATTTCAGCCTCAACTTGGTGACTTGTAACGATTGCGGCCCTTGTTGATCGAGCCGCGGGTGAACTTGCGTCCGGACAGCTCTCCACCGACACCATTGCTCTAGAGCAGTGCCACCTTGGCAGCTGCTGAATGAAGTGCCCAAGAAGCAAAGTGCCAATTTTCGAGACCTGAAACTGGCACAATCTGCGTCCAATGGAGGAGTGGCCATGTACCGAAAACCGATCGTGGAGACCTTTACATACACCCAAAAGCCCCGGACAACTGGACTGCCCCACATATGCAACTTTCATGCAATATTGACAGCTTTTCGGCTTCTCGGCCTCATGCTTTTGGTTGAGGTAGTGGAGACCGGCATGCTGATAAATACTTGTATCACCAACATGATACGGCTGGTGAGTCCAATTTCTGCAGTTCGCAGTTCTCAGTTCTCCTCATCTCATATCGTTGGGTAGGTATGTTCTACCTTCCATCCTTGTGCGGAGCTGAGAGTCTCTCGACTTATCAGATGGAGCCAACACAAGTTATGCCGTAAGAGCTTTTTTCATGATCCTCCTTCCTGCAACGCTTGTGGATCTTGGCATCGCCAGGCTGCGAACTGATCACATATGATTTGACGACAATTTGGTGATATGTGGTGAGCAGGAAAATGGAGGAGGGTGGTGGTATCAACGCAGGGTCAAAGAGTTGGCCCAAGATGATGAAGTCCTGTTATGGTATACATCGGCTCTGGCACTGACCCCATCCGGGCGTGTAAGTGGTGATGATATATGGTCGGCGAGCCCCCATTCGATGGACCCTATTCGTTTCTCGAACAACGACTAGCGAATCAAGGGGATTACCGGGGACCTGGAAGGGTTTCACCATCGCCGAGGTCACCGACCAGCCTTACAAAACCTAGCATGTCCCGGCTGCAGCTTGCATGCAGGCCCTTCTCCGCACTTCATCAAAGCACCAAGAGACTTTCTGGAGCAAGAGAACGAACCGCCCCAGCCGCTCCATTGCATGCTGCGTAATTCGATTTTCCCACAAGGCTCCGGAAATGAGAAGGCTCGGCGTGCTTGGCTTATGTAGGTTGTGATAGAGGCTCAGCTGAAGATGCTAACGGATCGAACCAAATCGGCCGGACGGGCTCCTTTGGTCATCACAAACCGCATTCTGTCGAAGATATAGCTTGGCGCTCGCAGCCTTCTCATCCGTTTTCACCACCTTTTCTTCCAATCAAACCAACCACTGACCTTGCTTGAGGAAGATTGGGCTTCGACGTGTCCAAAGCATTACTTGGCGCTGACAGAGTCTTGCTGCTGGTCCATTGTCGTTCGCTGCCGTCCACAGGCTGTCAGGTAAGTGATGAGAAAGGGAAATGGCCTGCAAGCCGCAATTTCACGCACTTGCTGCAAGAAGGGTCTTGTGCATCCAGCCCGGGCTGTCACTGACAGTCGACGTGAATCTTACGTGGCTCCAGATGGGTTCGGATGCACGAAAGTTTGATCCGGCCAACGACATTTCCTATATGTGCTACTGAAGGCTCTAAAGCAGACCAGGCTTTTGAGGTCGCCTTCGAGGTGGGAAGGTTGAAGAGATGGTAGTGGCTAGTTGGTAGTCTCAGCGATGCACGAGCATGTTATCGAAGCCCTACAAAGGCTTTGATGATCGTCGTGCTGCATTGTTATACCGTGCCGTGGAGAGAATTGCGAAGTAGGGTCGAGATTATTAACCGAGCTCAACTTGAACGGGCAAGTGTCAGCACCTGCACGAATCTGTACTCTCCGCATGTCAATCATGGCGCTTGGTATGTAAGTTTGTCTGCTTCCCGTTGACAGATGTTATTGATATCTGCTGTCACAACACAGCAATAGAGAAAACCTACAGGTGCTTGTTGAAGCAATAGAGTGAGTCCTTGCAATTCACTCGCGGGTGTACGACACACCAGAAGCATGCAAATGAAGACCAGGACTCACAGGCCTCAAGGCTTCTGGGAGACTTTGGTCGTAGTGCGGCTGAATCATGTCCTTGACATTTTCCAAGTGTCACGGCCTATCATGGCCTGACAACATGCAGAGAGAGGGAGTTGAGAGGGTGGGGGGAGTGGTAGGAGTGGTGGAGGTGGAGAGAGGACGGAAATTCCGAATGGGCTGTCTCCGGGCAGCAGCAACCTTTCTTCCAGCCTGATGCCAGGACTTCATTGAACCCAAAACACCTTCCAGCCAACCACTTGTCAAGCCTCGAGAAAACCCCGCCCTGATTGTCAGGTCTGGATGAGGAAGTCTTTGCCGAGGATCTAGAATTGTGAAGGCGGAGTTGAAGTTGTCTGGATGTGGGAACATGAAAGTGGAGAAGACAGGTTCAGGATGAAGAGCGAGACGCCGAATGGAGTCCAGAGAACTCATGGACGAAGAGATGTCGAATGAGACTGAAGGACGAAGAAACTTCGAGGCATGAGGTTTGGCCTGTGTCCCCTCAATGTGACTTCGGTGAAGCACGATGCCGGCCCTTGCCACCTTCATGTTATGGCTTGGTCAGTTTACCTCGAATGCCACATCTTGGTCAATCAGTGCCTTGTCAACTTACATTTTCCAAGTTTGAAAACTCCGGTTAGGCACATCACCTTTTGAGTTGAAAAGACCTTCGCAGCTCGAAGCTGAGCATATCGGAGCTCTTAGGCCATCATCTGCGATATTCTGCCTGTGGTATCCATTCAATATCGGAACGACCTGTGCACTTCTTTGTAAGTTCAGTTGCTTCTCTCCAGTTATGAAAACCGATGGTTTCCAATGTCGGCAACATCACCTAATTTAGGGGATACGTGGGGATCCAGATAGAACTTTGCTGACTCGGTCAACCCCCAAGAGCACAGCCAAACAGACTCTAGGGGTGACCTACCTCATCTTCGACCAAGATGTCTGACATATACACTCCACCTCCACGAACGGCCTACTACCTCGCACAGGCATTCTATATGCCTAGCGACAAAGGAGACCGTTGGGCTATATCATTTTCCGGGAGAAGCTCAGTGCTTGTAGCGTCTGCCCTCTCCGTTGTCGTCACTCTGAGTTTCGCAGCCCTTTGGAAAATAATATGTTTCGTCTCTCTGATGTTCCAGGGCAACGAGTCCAGGAGGAGATTTGTTGGCATGATAATGCTTTGGAACTCGGGCGATGCGATCGCTGCATTCCTTCGACTGGTAACGTATACCGTTCGATGTTATCCACGGACAATCACGAAGCCCAAGACGGGAGAGTCAGAGACTCCCAGCGGGGCTTCTCAAAACACTAGTCAGGAAGGAAAGCGGCCCAAGCAAAGAGGTGACTTCCTGTACGGCTTATCTCTTTGCCTCGTTTGCTTTGCCGTCTGGGGAGGGAGTGTGGCCATGTCGACGGTCGTCTCCTGGCTCGTTTCAATTGGACACGTCGCACCCGTTAACCCAAGCGTCTTGTTTTACCCCGACATCCCTGGTGAAGTTGCTGTTCAGCAGTTGAAGGATTTCGGTCTCCGTGCCCCAGGCATCTTGCGCTCTTTGGGAAGCGTCGAAGCAGCCAAGGTGACGCTGCGCACTCGCGTGAGCATTGAGGGCGGAGATACCGGCCTCATTCCAAACGGAAATGATCTTGGCCATGAGCTCAACTACGATTATAACCTCACCGGAGTCGAGTTAGGTCTCCGGGGTGGCGACGGCCTCTCACTAGGGGTGAAGGGCTTCTGCAGAACTGAGTACGACTGGTACCGTCCTGACATGAGTACCAATGCCAGCGACGTCTACCACTTGTGGAACAACGAGAATCAATCACGGTCCATCCGGTTGTCTGAGGATGCTATTACTCGCGCACCTACCGCCGCCTTTCTGCTCCCCAACGAGTACTTTACAGCGGCCGTGGGGCCACCAGCGGATTCCAACTACTCCTTCGCTATAATAGTGAGTTCCGCGCGGCGGACCAGCGTGACGGAAGGCAGTGATCCTTGGTATACGACAGAGCTGCGTGACCAGCCCGCTGACTTAAGTCATTACAATGCCAAATTTTGGATGAAGCGCGCCAGACCTATCCTCTCTTGCTGGGAGCAGATGAAGTGGTTACACAAGGGAACCGCTCTCGACTCGATTGCCGACCTCAGATACCAGACAGATCGAACCATTCCGGACGTCCTCGTCGCAGTCCTCGAGGCAACATTCTTCGGTGGCCCGATGCTTGTCAGATTAGGAAACGCAAGCGGTGACTCGGCACTCAGGTCTCGAACTACCAGTCCCAACGGGGTGATTGATGCATCCATGTCATCCATTGACACCGACATGGAGCGGTTAGTCCTCGCGAGCTTCGTAGCGACTCGGAACATCTTCAATGATGCAACCATGTTCGGTGGCTCCGAACAAAATTACCCCAATGTCTTCCGGGGCGGCAACGGACAACCCGAGGAAGGATCCGGGCACTTTGTGGTATCCAGCCCGGACATCCAGACCTTTTCGCTCACCGGGATCATCTGTTTGGTGAGCATCCTGGTCTTTCTCACGGCGATTTGGCTCTTGCTCGAGTTCCTGCTTCTTGTATTGAAGGGCCGTCATCATCCCTTTTGGTGCAAATATCATGTGCTTGATGCGGTGCAGTTGTTTCGATGCCTGTACGAGAAAAACGATCCTGATCGTACATTCACCAAAACCGACCGTCCGACTAGCGAAGACCTGCCGAAAATTCGGCCCTATGGCGGCTGGCGGTGCAATGAAGGGGTACCACAACAGCAAATTTTCCGCGAAGCTAATGGCAAAGACACCATTTTCAACATTGAAGATGATTTTTGCCTGTTGACGCCCTGCAAGGAGAAGTCCTGCATGGGGCATATTCTTAAAGATCTAGCCAAGGAGGTCAATCGGAACAGCGTGATTGAACCCAAGGAACCTGTGAGATCTGATCGGACCACTCCGGACCCTGATACGGCCATGCCTCAGGGTGACTATGAGAAACGACCCGCGCACGACACCATCAACCCCAGTAATTTGTCCAATGGCCACAGTTAGAGGTAACATCTATTGCGCCTCTCTATGCTTGGAGAAGTGGCTGGCAAAAACGGCACAAGGTAACCTTTGAACAGGCGGTTACTTTTAACCTCTATTTTCTCACTTTCCTTGTCCTCTTTTCTCACTCCTTGAAGGCGTTGGATCCTATTTGATGGAGTCTTGTGTAATGAGAAGAGGAAGAATTCATTTCGTTTACCGGCAGACCAACGATCATGGTTTCCCAGTAATGTCTGTAGCAGAGCATCGAAACTTCCATTTGTAAAATTCTGCCCTACAACTGGTCGATCAACGGTGTCGGCCCCCCAGGGACAATCAAAGGTCCTTGCTCGCCAAAAACTTTCTTGTGCCTTGCAGCGGCGTATGACGGCCCATACACATCCAGGTACGGTGCAGATGTCGAGTGGAACGCGGCATTGGTTTCGCGGCTGTCTTGATCCCAATACAAGCGGCGGAGCCAGGAGTAAATGCTCGGATAATCATGTCGAATGGATTTGAGGCTGCATAGAAACACTGGGCGGTACGCGACGTCGAACCGAATGATTGTGGTATACAAACGGACGTCAGTCTCTGTGAGGTTGTCCCCAAGAAGGTATTTCCTTGACTTTGTTTCTGGTGAGCCACCATCGCTGGGTGCAGGGGAGGAGAGGAGTTGCTCAACACGATCGAGTCCCTCAAAAAGTGGGTACAGATTCGCGTCGTACGCCTGCTGGGTGGTAGCGAAGCCTGTCTTGTACACTCCGTTGTTGATCAAGTTGTAGACCCAGCTATTCACCTCATCAATGGAAGATTGCAGATGCTTCGGGTACAGTCCGCCACCTGGCCTGTTCACTTCACGTAAGTGTTCCGGCAGGAGGTGGTCAAAGGCGGTAGTGAGCATGCGGATAATCTCGGAACTTTCGTTGTTGACAACGGTATGGGTCTTCTTGTCCCAGAGCATGGGAACTGTGAAAGGACCGGTGAAGGAGGGGTCGGCCTTCTTGTAGAGATCGGGGAGGTACTTGAAGCCGTACAAGGGGTCTACAGGGAGGGAAGAACCTTCACCGCTGAAGTACCAGCCCTTGGGACCCATGGATGGGTGGAGTTCGTACAGATCGATAATGTTCTCCAGTCCTTTGAGAATCCGGACAATGGAGGTTCTATGTGCCTGTTACCAAATGTGTAAGTTGACGGCCCACAAGAATAACGATCAAGTGAAAGAGGGACAAAGTTTACCCAAGGACATGTGGGCGAGATGTACAGAGCATAACGGCCCTTTTCTGCCGGAAATGGAGCATTGGAATCAGGGAAGATGAAGTTACGGAAAGCACTTTCGCTGCGAATGAATGCTCCGGAACCCTGGTTATCCTGTCGTCCTGAGGTTAGCTGCGAGAGCTTGGAGGGAGAGGGAGAGGTTATAACCAACCTTGGAAGCCATTGTCGGTATGCAGATAGTTAGTTGAAAGATGATGATTTGACAATGCTTGAAGTTCGGAACGCAATCCTCGAAAGTCCAAGTCAAAAGACCAGGTCCATCG